TTAATAGTAGATAATGAAAAACATAAGAATATAAAAGAAATATATTTAATGATAAATAAGAAGAATGAAAATAATATAGAAATAGAAGAGATATTAAATTATAAAATGATTTTATAATTAATTTTAAATTAATATTCAATAAAAATGAATAAGAAGAGAGAATAAATAAAGAAATGATAATAAAAGGGAACCAAAATAAGTGAAGAAATTATGCATCTAAATAAATTGCTCAATTGAAAATAGTGTAATATATTTTTTGATTATTAGATTATTCTGTTTTCTATTATTTTCTCTTAAAATTATAAAAATATAAAATAAAATAAAAAGTAGGTAAAATAATAATTCTATAACCATCAGTTGATACTTTGTAATATCTTATTGTATTGAGTATGATGTATCTTGATTTGTTGAGTATATTCATTCATAAATCTGTTCATTTTATATTATTCTTTATTTCATTTCATTTACCATCAAATCTATTTTAATGTGAAAATATCATTATGAAATGTAATAAAGAAGAATATTATGTTAATTCAAATTTATAATGTTATTTATGAATAACAATGATTATATAAATATGAATATCAATCGTATTGTTATTAATGAGTAAATATGTTCTATTTCATTTATCACATTGATGAGATATCATAATGATATGTTAACAAATGTTATTATTTATTTATTTAAATGATATAATTATTGATATGAAAATTAAATTATATCACAGATGATTATCAATGATGAATGATGATAATATACAATGTAAATTATTTATATTATCATATCAAACAAGAGATAAATGATGAAATAAATAAAAAGATAATAAATAAGAAGTATCAATGAAATGATGATATAATAATAACAAATTGAATAATTTAAACATCAACACAATAATACAGAATGAAGAATGACTATTTAATATGTAATATAAATTAAACATTTATAATTAATAATAATGAATTTAATGTTCATCTTCAACTTTCATTCATGATAATAATTCATCAATTTTATCATTAATCATTATATTTATTTTCTTATTATTTTCTTTATTCTTTCTTTTATCATTTTCTTTTTATATTTATTTTATTTAATTTCAATTTCATCAACAGATATATTTATTTAATACAGAAATCGAAGTAGAAAGATATAACTAATAATTTACAAATATGTTATTCTCATATTTAATCACAAATATTTTCATCTAATAATATTTTCTACTATTTTTTACCTTTTAAACATTTAACAAGAATTAATTTGCAACATGATAATTCATTTCAATGAACTATCAAACATAAACACCATGTTTTAAACAAACAATGAATACATTCATTACATTTATACAACAATTATGAAATAATTAACAACATCACAAATCAATATAATAATATAATGATGAATACGAATAAAATGCATAATTTCGTGACCGATGAAGTAGTATTAGGAAGAAGGAAAAAAAATAGAAGAGAACAAACCTTTTAAATTTCAGAAGAAAACTATTAGATAAAATGATAATAAATAAAATGCAATATAGATTGAAGCATCAATGAAATAATATCAATTAAAATGATTGATTACTTATTAATGCTTTTTTATTCATTCTTATTATTTTAAAGGTTTAATGATAATAAAATAATTTATATCTCATTAACTATCCTCAGTGTTTAACTATCATCTTTTGTATTTATCAATTCATTCATTAATCATATTATTATAGATAAAACATTTTATTAATTAAATTGATCATATTCATTATATTCAAATTATATTTTTATTATTTCCGTGGTAACTTTATTTGTTTTTGATTACCTTTTATCAGACATTCAAAATATCTGTATCTCAATATTGCAATTTATTTTATAATCTTGTATTTATTAAAATCGTTATTATCAATGATAAATAATCATCAAGTTGATAATTACATTTTTAATCATTTCAAATTAATACAGATTTATCATTGAATTTAATTAAATACCTAATCAATTAACTAATCATTAAAATTTATATTCAATGTAATAAATGATTAATATAAGTTATTGATGTATTATTGATAATGATGAAAATTATTTCATAATCATTTATAAACATTATATATGATTATTGTTAACTTAAGATATGAAGAAATATTCATTTTAAATTATGCTATCATAATTATAATGATTAATAAATCATATTTCATTATTATAAATCAGAATAAAGAATAATAAACAATTTATTCATTTATGAAATTATCATTAACCATTTAATAGTGTTTTCTTTCATTTAAAAATTAAACAAAATTTAATACAATATTGTCATATAATTAAATTAATATATCAAATATTTATTATTGATGATCTAGAAAGAACCATTGTAATTGGTATTGTATTGGTTCATTTTTATTGTTTGCTAATGCTTCCCATATCATTGTTTTATCTAATTGTAGGTTTTTATGTTCTGCAAAACGAACTGCTTCTACTACTCTTCCCTTACGAATTAAACACTCAATCAATGTTTTATAATCCCCGATTCTTTTTAACATATCTAATCCATATCTTTCTATTGTCTCATCTGCTGATTTACATAATGATAAAGCAACTTGTGTGTTGTCATTAACAATATGGTGTTGAATAAATTCTTTGATTGTATTGAATTTATTTAATCCATTTAATTTCTGAATAAAATCTGCTTGTAAGTCATCTGATATTCCTCCTTCATTTGTTTGTGTTGATGCTCTAACTGCTTCAAGATAAGCACCAACAATATAATTTGGATCATCAACATTTCTTATCAATGATTGAACAGCAATTTGAAGATCAAATTCTTGTAAATTGGAAGAGACAATAATTCTGAATAATTCACAAACAATCCACAACGATGTTTTCTTTTTTCCATATTCTTCAAGAAGTATTTTACAAACATCAAATGCATGACGTTCAATGAAGAATAATAAACGAGAACATTCATCTGAAAATAATTGTATTTGTTGATTTAACTTTTGATAATTAAAATGAAATGTTGTACATTTTGAATTAATCTGATCAACAAGAAGAGAATTATGAATTATTAATGTAGAATGAATATTAAGTTGATAATCAACTATATGAATTGGACATTTTGGTGATAATTTAGATATTGTGAATATTAATTCTTTGTGTTGTTCTTTTCCTTTAACTTTTTCAATTGATTCTTGTTTTATTTTCAAATGAGTTATAGTATTAAAAGTGATGATATTATGAATATATGCTTTCTTACCATCAAATATAACTAATGTATCATCAATTGACATTATAATAATATTTCCATTTGGTGATTCATATCTATTCACAATTTCATGTGGATTATTTAAATTGAATAAATAGATTGGTCCAACATTGAAATGAATGGCTAAATAAGGTATTTCCATGATAATTATTAATTGAATTGTTGGAAGTGATACTTTTTGTTGAGATGGATTACTAACATCAATCTCTGATGTTTTTGATATTGTATCTCCTATACATTCTATTACAATTCCTCGAATTTTATTTAAATCATTATATAATAACACAATTATGTTTTTGTAATGTATTATTTTCCATGGTCTTAAATATTTATAAGTAGATAAAGGAATAAATGTATTTAATGATACCAATGTTGTACTTTTTAATCCTACTATCATCAATGTTTTATCATTGATAAAATAAAGTATTTGAGGATCATCATTTACTTTTATTAATGATGGTGTTTTACTTTCATTTGTTTTAACCATGATGTTTCTTGTTTGTTTTTTTGTAATGAATGCTTGTTTGTTAGCTGACAATGTGAACAATATTGTTCCAACAAATTGGTGTTCAACATTAATTACTCTTTGTGATTTTTGAATGTATTGATACAATTCATGTGTTTCTTTATCATGAAAATAAACCCCACATTTTCCATCACTTTGAATGAGGAAGTTGTTGATTGGAATATCAATTTCATGTGGAATGATTATGTTGTTCATTATGTTATGGTGAACTAACAATTCAATTAAAATTGTTAAAAAAAAACAAAAATATAACTTGAAAAGAATATAAATTATAAGATATGAATGTTAGAAACACAAATACTATGAGACAATCAACTCATTTCATTAATTCAATTGACACAAAATATAAAACAATTAATATTTCGTTCATTCAAAGAATCAACCAAATTAAAATTGATACACAAAAATATGAATTATATCAATTCAATAATAAATTTGTTATTCTACGAACAAATATTATTAACAATGAATATTACATTGACGTTGATGTTAATCCTGAATTTATTCCTTATATTCCTACTTTATCTAAATTTCTTTCATATCAAAAATGTCATGAGAATAGTGTATTTCAATTACCATCAATCATCACACATTTATCATATTTCAGAATTCCATTACCAGATATTTTACATTGGATGAATATTGATATTTCATCATCATCAGGTAAAACTAAATTCACACAAATTCTATTAAACAGTGAACCAAAAGAATTAGAAATTATTCTTAGAGGGAATTTGATTAGCAAACAATTTCCACAAATAAAAGTTGATGATTTTTTACATGAATTTAATCAACAAACCAAAATGAATGAGAGTTTCAAAATAATATTAAATGAATATTTCAATACATCACATGAGAATATCATTGATAACTTCATTAATAATACTAGAATTAATTTAGATGAGTTAATTGAAAATACAGAATTTTCAGAAAAGAGAGATGAAATAATATTTAGAATGATAGAAAATGTTGTTAATAAGAAAGGAAAAATATCACCTGAACAATACGAAGTAATTAAATCAACATCATTAAGAGAATATTCATTTGATGAAGAGTATCTTATTGATATAATTTGTGTTATTCAACATGATATCAATGGACAATTCATTACAAATGATAGAAAAAAGAAAGCATTTAATATAATAGATACAAACAATGAAATAATTATACAAAAATCAATCAATGATGGTATTCTTGATCACAAAATATATGAATATAATGATTATAGTGAATTTAAAGAAAAAAATACTATCATTTGTTTAATGATATAGTCATGTACTAATAATCAATTTAATAAATTTAATTCCTAACATTGAAATAATAATTCAGTAATTAATAATTTAATATCAATAAATTCAGTACATTATTCTCCAATAATATAACACTTAACAATTTGGTAAAATTATTAAAATTATAAGAAATTGGCATAATACAAAAATGAAAATGATTACTTTTATTTGTAATAAACATCTTTTATTTGTTTATTCTAAATTCTATTTGAAAATGACTTTACAAAGGATAAAATAGTAAAAAAATTCAAAACATTATTAAAAAGGATGTGAACTAATACAAATAAAAAAATAAAAGGTACGAAGAGTGAGAAATCAATACCAACTTTAAAACAAAACAATAGAAATGTAATGACCATCAAATAGCTGTCACTATATTAATGAATAAATTATTTCTTTCAATATGTATAATCATTTTAACGTTATTATTAGTTGAAATATTAAATAGATTTATAATGGAAAGAAATAACATAGTAAAATAAAAAGAGAATATAAACAATATCGAAATAAAGAACGAAACAAAAATGTGATGAAATAAATGATAGCAGTAGTATGGATAATTCAAATTGAATGATTAAAAGAATGAAGAAAATAGTGTGTAAACAAAGTGTTTGAATTGATGGTTAATAGTTTAAATAGAAAATAATATAAAGTAAAGAATTAATATATCAATATGAATAAAAAATTGAATAATGTACAAAGAAGTAATAATAAAGTTACATTTATTATAATTATAATTTTGTTTCAACAAATATTATAAACAATTCATTATTGAAAAACATGTTATTAACATTTTATTTATTATATTCTATTAATAGTTATAATATAGAATTAACTGAAATAAGCATTCTCATTATTCATAATAGTTAATTGTGGATAGATCTATTAATTCTTATTTTTGTTCTTTTTTGAAAATATAATAAAATGATAAGATTTTATTAAACATTAAATCAATATTTAAATTTCACTATCTTTTTATGGCTCGTCTCATTATTATTTACGTAACACAATAACTCTGAAAAGATTCAATGATTTGTTCAATAATTTTGGAGATAATTTAATTATTATTAGTTGTGATATTTTAGTTATTGATAATAGTTTTTATAAAAAGAACTTGAGAAAATTTTAACATCTTAAATTGAAACAACATCAATGACGTTGTTATTTGTGTTTAAAATTACATTTTTCCAGTTGTTATTGAATAATTTGAAATTAATAAAGGAGATGTTGTAATTGTGATTGACTCTAATCTTCAACTCCAAGTTTCTGGTGAAATTAGTAATGGCCCAATAGGTTATTCAGAAAGATTAGTTGAAATTTGTGTTTATCATAAAAGAATCATTTTATTTGATTTAAATCTTCTTGCACAACTATTTCCATCAATAACAAACACGAAGACTGGTATATTTGCAATTAAATAAGTAATTCATATATAAAAGTAATCAGAAATAGGCTGATATAAAATTTACCAAAAAAAAATGTGGTTAAGACAAAAACAAAGAACAGAATTAAATCACATACTATCATTAATAATATTGAACATGATGAGTCTAAGTTAATACAAGGAATTATGAATTACAACCTTTATTTAATTCCATTGTTCTATTATCTATAAAAGTTTCAGTTTTTAAATTCATTGTTGTTAGTGGATTGCAAATAGTCACTGATTCTTTTTGTTAATACTAACGTTCCTGATTGATCAACATATATTCTTTCATCATTTCTGTATTATGCAAAACCCCTTCTTAAATTCACGTTGGATATTCTTACAACAAGTAAATCAAAACAAAAACAACTCTAACTTTTGGAATTGATTTCGTGTATTTTTTACTATAAGAAGTATGCTATTTAAAGTTTGAAGAATATAAATCACAGATGAAATTCTATATATAAAGGTTTCTCTTTATTTTTATTGGATTGTTATAAAAATAAATTTCATTGAATCTAACTGAACATATTGAATAACCAATAAAAGGGGAAGTTATTTTATTAAAATTATTAAATAACAGAAGAAATATTTGAACAACAACCAGAAAATAACCAAAAGAAATTGAAAATATAATTATAAAATATCCACTTCATTATATAACATCAATACTTCGTTTAATTTTAGTTACTTACAATAAGTAATTATTACTATGAGATGATATTAAATTTACAATATAAACAGAAATATATCTTCAATATAATAAACAAAATAAAACACAACAACAAGCCATTTAAATATATTACAAAATAATAAATTTAAATATGAAAAAATATAAATCATTCAATTTGTGATACACATTAATTACACCAAGACTGCAATTGTAATGTTGTAATTTCACAACGCATCACGTCAAAAAACTTTGATAATACAGAAAGTGATGAAAAATGATAATAATTGTAATAACATAACTTCTTGAAACAATAAAAAGTTGTGTAAACAATTAAATATCATTAATTAAAACGAATAACAGAAATAATTTTTGAAAAGATATTTGTTTTATTATGGAAATGAACATATTTCTTAGCAAACACAAGAAAGATAAGAGCAATTTACTTAAACATAAGTTAAAATTAAAGTAAATAATAAAATTAAAAAATGTAATTTTTAAAGATAATTTAATTTCTAGAATTACAATAATTGGTATGATAAGGCTGAACGAAAAATAACTATACGTATTAAAATGAATATACATAAATTTTAACTAGGTTGTGTTGAATGTTTAGAGTAAGATGTAATCTTTTATGTTTTAAAAACAAATAAATAGGATAATTGTGGTAAAAATATTATTTGTAACAAATAGTGCGTATGATAATTTCGTTGTTAGTTCGTATAAACAGAAAATGAAAAAACGCTTTGTTAAATTTTTTATCATCGATTTCTTTATACATTTATTTTTGTTTATTATTTTTATTTGAATAAATTTTGTAAGTATTGTAAAATTAAATTGATAAAGATAAATCGATTTTATATCGAAAAGGAAGTATAATTTTATAAAAATGAAAAGGTTTAATGTAAAAAATCGTATGACTTTAATGTTGTAAAATCAATTATTTTGTCAAGCCTATTGTTTTATTTATACTAGTTTTCACTTAATTAACCGATACAAAAGTGTTTATAAATAAAAGGGGTATGATTTGTCAATTTTAGAATACAATAAAGATGTTTTGTTTTGATGATTAAATCCCTATTTTTAAAATAGGTTGTAAATAAAATTGATAAAAATCATTTTTGAAATGAATAGTTATAAATATTAAAATCACATAGTATTTAAAGAAATTGAAATTACAACCAAAAATTAAATAATGAGTTTGCCAGAGAGTAAAAAAGCTAAAATCCTTTTGATCGGTGATACAGGATATGGTAAAAGTTCGCTTGGTAATTTTATCCTAAATAAAAAGAATGCTTTTCAAGTAAGTAATAGTCCAACTCCAGAAACAAAAGAAAGTCATGAAGTTTATGGAGAAGGTGATAGAAATGATATATCTGTTATTGATACACCTAGTTTTTCTGATTCAAGTAAAATGAATGAAGAATTGTTGAATGAGATTGCTCGTTATGCTTTGGACAAAGCAGGAATACAAGCAATTGTTATTGTCATGGACTTTAATAATGATGAGATTTCTCATAACTTAAAAACAATGATTGAAACCATGTGTTTTATTTTTCCATTTTTTGACTTTTGGGATCACGTATGTATTGTTTGGACTAAGTGCTATTACTACACACCAAAAAACCGTTTAAAAATACACAAGAAAACTAAAGAGGACTGTTATTATCCAAAATTAAAGAGTCTTATTGAAGAGATGACAAAGAAAAAAGAAGACATTAAACCTAAAATGTATTATGTCGACTCACAACCAGATGAAGATTGTGATGATAATAGTCGGTCAGAGAAAGCAATTAAAAAACTTTTAGAATGGGTTAAAAGGTTAGAAAGTATTAAATTTGGCAGAGAACTAGGATTACTAGGTTCTGAATACAAAAACATTATCACAGAAGAGAAGCAAAGAAGAGAAGACGTAAAAGAGAATGAAATAAATACAGTACCACAAATTAAACCCATGAGAAGAGAAATAAAAATTGGGTATAATGGAAAGATTACTTGTAGTGAATGGGAAATAATAAATGATAACACAAATGAAACTTCAAAGAAAAACCCTTCTTTTGGTTCCTTTTTTACTAAGTATTGCACAATTATGTGATCCCTAAAATAATTCATTATTTGGGTTTATGAAATAAAGTTCATATATAGTTTTATATTATTTCACGAAATAAACAATAAAAATAATTTATAATATATGTCATTTTAATAACATGACTTTATTTTAATAAAAACCAAAATATTAAAATAATATAACACATTATTTTAAGTATATTTATCATCCACAGTTATCGACATTGACTTTGTGATAAGACAATGATTTATTACTCTAGGGGTTCTAAAAAAATTAAAGAAAGTGTATACACAACTAGAGGTATTTTCGAGTTGGAAAAATTTTAATTAAAGACATGTCAAAATAATCTAAATAAACGAACAACTGGAAACACATTAACAAAATCAAATGTTTATGGGGTGTTAACTTTATTGTGATTATTCAAAAACAGCATCTTAATAATTGCAAATAATAACCATATTTCAAAATTTGTATAAAACTATTTAAAATTTTTTGTTCAAATAACCTCATAAATTATTTATTTTTATATGAACGACATTTATTTCAATTTCAAAGCAACAATTAAAATTAAATGTATAGTAAAAAATCTTTAAAATATTTTATTTTGGTTTGAATAATTTTGTAATTTCATTGATTCGAAAAGAACGTTTTAATGTAAAAGTGAATATAGACACACCATTGACATTAAGAGAAAAGTTAAAGCAAAATTCATAAAAAATATTTCATTTTAAAAATAATTTGTTGTTTTGTTTACATAAAGAATATTTAAGAGGATTTTTTTTTAAGAACACTGAATTTTATTTGTTTATTTCAAATGGGGTTGAAATATTTTTATAATAAACATCATTAAATAAAATATATAAATAAATGTTTGTTACAGTAAAATAGTATTTAAAGAAATTACATCTAAATAACATCCAATGATTAGTCAAAGCATAACACAAACTAAGTTAATACTTATAGGAAAGACAGGTGATGGTAAAAGTTCGCTTGGTAATTATATTTTGAATAAGAAAGTGTTTAGTGAAAATGATGGGGCTAAATCAGTAACACAAAAGACAATGGGAGACAGTGGAGAAGGTGATAGAAAAAATGTATTTGTTATTGATACACCAGGATTTCAAGACTGTGATGGTGTAAAAAAACAGGAAGAACATACTAAACAGATGGTAAACTATATCAAAAAACAAAAAGGATTACAAGCCATTGTTATTTGTTTGGATATTAATCAAGATAGGTTATCAAATGAAGTCAAAACAATGATTCAAATAATAAGCAATGTTTTTCCAATTTATGACTTTTGGGAACATGTGTGTATTGTTTGGACTAAATGTTATAATTACACACCAAAAAAGATAATAGACAAAAAAATTGAAAATAAAAAGAATAGTTATCTTAATGAATTATCAATATTAGCTAAAGAAACAACCGGAGATGAAAGAGTTATTTTACCAATGTATTTTGTAGACTCACAACCAGATGAAGAAAGTGATAACATTAGATCAGATAACGAAATAAAGTCAATGTTAACATGGATTCGCTTTTTACCACATATTAATGTTGAAGAAATACAAGAGCCAGATTCTAAATACCGGAAAATAATTATGGAATATAAACAAGAAACAGAAATTATAGAAGTACAACATGGTTATATAAAGTTAAAAATCAAACACCTGAAGAGAGAAAACAGAATTGGATATGATGGGATTGCTAGTTTTGGTGCATGGAAGGAGGAGAAGAGCAAAATCAAAATGCAAGAAGTTCCAGAACAACTTGCTGATACTTCAAAAGAAAAACTTCAAGAATTAAAATATATGGTTGGAGATCGAAAGTTTGAAAATATTGTTGATGGTGTTCTTAATCGTAATATACTGTTAGGGCTTTAAGTCGTGATTTAGTGAACAAGAAATGTTAGAAACTTATCCTAACTATTAATTTTTTAATATTTTCATTGTTTTCATTTAAATAAAGTATTGTACTGTTTATGAGAATATAACATTCAACTATTAATTCAAATTTTTTAATAACATTATTGAATTAATAAATTGAATAAAAACATAATTTAAGATAAAGAATTTATGGGTTAACGTTTGGTTAAATTAAAACAGATGAAACACTATAAACATAAAGAATAAATAAAGCATAAAATAAAAATGGTTATTATTACTCATTCACTACCAATATTTATTAAAATGTTTGTGTATAAAATGTGATTCTGATAGGGCAACTACTTTTATTGTAAATTAATAGTCAACACTAACTCATAAAAAAACAACTAAACTCTTCTTTTGCATTCTCCATAAATATGTTATAAAAGGTTACCCCATTATTTTTTCTTTATCGTTGAATTTAAATAATGTAAATTCATTTCACTTTTCTTACTTATTAAATACAAATACACAAAAATTGGAAAATAACATAAATGAATTTATAAATTCAATTCAACTAAATAAATACACTAATGTAATAGTTATTTGATTGTGATGTTATTCAAAATAAATCACAACTAATTTGTTAATTTTATTACGGTTGTAATTTTAACATCACAACAGATAAAAGTATAAATAATATTATCGACTTTGTTTTAAAAATACAGTTATAGGTTATTTATAATTATTTAAATAAATTGATTTTAGTCATTATCAATAAAAATGTGTTAAAAAGTTACTAACAATGTTGTATAGTATTCGACGTTATGAAATAGGATTCAAAAAAATCGATAAAATGGTATAAATGTCATTACAGTTAAACATTCTTTTTCAGTTCAAAATATTTTACATCGAATAATTTCAAATAAGAGTTATTGTGATTTAATTTTACATTCAATTGTAAACAAAAAAATGATAAACATCATTAAAACTAAATGTTAATTATAGTCAATCGTCTTAAAATAGTATTTAAAGAAATTGCATCTAAATAATATTCAATGAGTGTAGGTGAGATAAAAGACACTAAAATGATTTTGATTGGAGGGATAGGTGATGGTAAAAGTTCGCTTGGTAATTATATTTTGAAAAAGAGAGTGTTTGGTGAAAGAACTGAAGAAAGCCCTAAAACACAAGAAACAGTAGGATTTAATGGAGAAGCCGATAGAAAGAATATATTTGTTATTGATACACCTGGTCTTCAAGATTCTGTCGAAGTCAATGAAAATCGGTTAAGCTATGTTATTGAATACATTAAAGAACAACAAGGCGTTCAAGCTATTGTAATTGTTTTAAATTTCAACAAAGAAGTGTTGTCAGAGAATATTAAAACAATGCTTAAGTTAATTTGTAACGTTTTTCCAACAGAAGGATTCTGGGAACACGTATGTATTGTTTGGACTAAATGTTATAATTACACATCAGAAGAAGTAATAGAAACACAAATTAAAACAAAGAAAGAGAAAGTACTTCCAGAATTAAAGAAACTTATTAAAGAAACAACACGAGATGGAGAATGTATCGAATTTCCAATGTATTTTGTCGACTCTCTCCCAGATGAAGGAAGTGATAACGCTAGATCAGAGAAGGAGATTGAAAGACTTCTAACATGGAGTTATCATTTAACTCCAATTAACAAAAAGAGGAATGAAAAACCGTTGATTAAATATAAGAGCATTGAAACTGAGGAAAAAGAAGTCACAGAAGTTGTAGAAGCAAACGACAGAAATATAAAGTTAAGAATTGACTGTAAGATAAGAGAGAAAAGAACAGGGTATGATGGAGAAATTACATACACTGAATGGAAACTCAAACCCAATGGTAGTTATTATAAGACTGAAACTAGACCAACCCCAAAACCAGAAATAAAAGAGCCGCAAAAACCTGAAGTAAATGATTCATCAGATTGTCACATTTTGTGATGGAAGAAATAACACGCTAATTCACTTTTTGGTTTTTTTTTGAAATAAAGCTTATAGAATTAAGACAAAAATCAAATAATTCAACTTTTTATCAATACCTAATTCAATGAAACTAAAGACAAATGAATAGTAATAATAAAATGATGGCGTAATAATACAATCCAAAGAACAAATGAATATGATGAAATAATAAATACAAAAAATACAAAGTGAATAAGATAATTATTACTTTATGATGAATATAAAATAAATGTGATTAAAACATTCAACCATACCTTATGTATAAATAAAGAATAATAAAACAAATAAATAAACAATTATTTTTTATTTAAAATACAATTCAATATTTTAATCATATTAACCAATAACTATAAATTATACTCAACATTATTTATTCTTGGTAATTGAATCAACAAATTAGAATTAATTTATACGAACAATAAACAGTAATTATTCAATACATTAGAAGAAGAAAATGAAATAAAAATTAACAAACAAGAATAAATACATTCTGATATTGAAGTGTCTTCTTTTAATTAAAATGATATGAAATAAACAGTAAGAATAATGGAGAATATAATTAGAACTAACATTTGTTGACAAAATTAGAATGATTTACGAAATTTTATATAAACAGACCACAATAACAATAGTTATTCAAAATATTTTATATTAAAAATACAAAACAAATAAAGGGTATACAATTGATGTATGAATAATTCACAAAGAGTTTGTATTAACTGTCTTCTGTCATTGTTTAAATTTACCAATTATTTAAACGAAAGAATTAGACATTGCTTGAATAGAGTTGTAAAAAGAAAGTATAGTTTCAAATCTTTTGCATTTATCCCAGTTTTTAATAATATAACATTAAGAAATATATTTAAGTGTAAGAATAGAACTTATTGTTTGTGTTTAACCTCTAACATAAAATATATAATGAAATTAAAGAAGAATAAATGTAATGAATTAGATAATTTGTTATATTTTCTTCCACTTTAATAAATATTGTTTTTAAAAATTAAGTAATACAAAGGAACTATTTAAATAATAGCCGAAGTTTATCATATATTTTATATGATAATTAGAATATTATCAGTAAAATAATAGAAGATATTAAATAAATAATCAGTCAATTCAAAATACAGTTAAAATAATAAACATGTATATATCACTAATGGAAATAATTATTTAATAATAAGAATAAGTACGGTGTATTATCAACAATAAAATATTAACAACAAATATTGAAATTAACATAAATAAATAATAACAGATCAAATGAAGTAGACTCAACAACAATTAGAAAAGATATATTTAAAATATTTTCTAAATGACTAGAATAAGATTAATGAATCAAAGAGAAAATAAAAAGAAATTACAACCAAAATTAAAATCTAATAAAATAATATTAAATAAATTAAGTCAAGAATTATTCAAGAATAAAAATAAAAATATAAAATAAATATTCACGTTATTATAAAAAATTTAATAATAACAATTAATTGGTATTAACATTAAACACTTTATTGAAACTAATTGAATATAAAAACATAAACACCAGAAGTAATTAAAATAAAAGAATAAATATTAGGTATATTAATATATAAAAAATATAGCCAATTAGTGTAATTGATTTTACGTATAGTCAAAATGAGGTAAATCAAATGATAACAAATAACTACTAGTAAAGTATCCAATTTGTAAAATAGCAGATTTTAAAAGAAAAAAGAATAATAAAAGAAATAAAGGTTTCATTCAAATTATTGTTGATGATATATAATTATTCATTTAATAATTTTAATTAAATATTGTGAAACTATAAACAAACATGACGTTAAGAATTAATTAATCAAATTTGTAATACAAGTATGAATAATACAATAATCACTTGATTAATGTATAACAGTAACATTATAAAGAGATGATCGAACTGGAGAGTTACGTATTTATGTTCTAAGAACATATTAATTTTAACTTTATGTACAATCTGATTTTTAGTTCATTTTTCTTATTTTTATTTTTTTTTCTAAATTTATTTTTTTTTCTTTTCATATCTTCTTCTTTATTTTCTTATTATGTATTCAATTATTATATTCGCTGAACTCTGTTTCTATTTCCCTTATTTTTTTATTCATTTTTCAGATGTTATAATTTAAATCTTACATCTATTCTTTATATTTACTCTAGTATAATCTCTCGATATTTGTATTATTTTATACTGATTTCTAATGTTTGTGTATAGTTGGTGTGTTATATAAATTAGATTCTATCTTTTTTTTTATCTTTCGTTTATATTCATTGTCATATTCCATACGTCAACAGAATAATTCTTTATCATCTTCAATATGAAAAATTATTAATTTAAAAGAAGTTGAATATTTCTATGAAATAATAACACGGTTCATTACACAAAATCGCAATTCTTAGATGAGCAGGTGTTTTTGACACATCAATTATCAACACCTACATGTCAATTAATTTGGACTCATTTACTATTTCATATTGTCTATGTTCAAAAAGAATTTGAATGAGAATTATTATTAATAGTTGCTCAACAGAAAAAAGTATTTGAGGGATAATCATTAATAATTGAAGAAGTACCTATTAGAATGTGTGCTCTATTAAAATAAAGCAAAACAAATATAAACCATCAACAATAATTGCATTAAATCCTATTTAATTTAATTGATTCAACATTTTATAATTAGAAATTCAAATTCTTTCAAACAAATCCATATCCGTTAAATAGAATAACAAAGAAGACATATTGATAAAGAAATGATGAAAGATTAAGTTGAAAGAACACAATTATTATTAAATAAATGAAAAAAAAAATACACAATGAAGTATTAAGAAATTATCATATTTAAATATAATTTTTAATAAATAATGATAGAGGTGAATTTGTCCAATATCTTGATATAAAGAAACAAATATTTGTTTTAGATGAAAAATTACTTTATCAGTAATTTATTTAGTGATAATATCAGTTTAATATACTAAAGAAAATGAATTGTTGCAACTGAATTATTTTATATCTGATGAAACATATTCTCATTTCTGAAATAGAAAAGAAGAAGTTCAATGAATAAGTATCTCTTGTTCATATAGGTTCATTTACTTGACATATTTCTGATGAACCAAAGAAAATGTACAAGCAAATAGAATTATATTTCATCTTCATTCATCTTATGTTTCGCACCTTCTTGAAATTGTAATTTTCTCTTCTCAAAGTGTTTGTTTATTTTATATTATTATTAATTGTCCTAATGTTATCAAAACTAAAATAACACATTACATTATTACACAACAAACACAAAGCAAACAATAAATCAACAACTTGAAAATGAACAAAAGAAATCAATGAAAATATTCATAAATAATCTCATTATTATTACATTCACAAAATAACATCTTTTTAACTTCTTCATTTCTAACTATTTTAACATCTATGTTTTCTTCTTGGTTTCATATTGATTCAATGAATAGTACTATATCTGATTTTGATTTTCTTAGAATATTTAACAATGAATAAATTGAAATAATACAATTCTAATGATATTTGATATTTTAATTGAAATTAGAAGTAATGAATAATGGTATAATAAAATGAAAAATAGAAACGATGACATAATCAACATAAAATAAAATAACAATCATTTGAATGATATTACTAATATAAATGAATATAATTATAATATTTTAATTTCTTCTATTTCATTTATTCAAATCTATGTATTTGAAATATCACCACACATTAAAAATTAAAAAATAAAAGAAATAAGAAGTGTAAAATGAATAACATTACAAATAACCAGCAAAACACAAGTATCTAATAAAATGAAAATAAATAAGAAAGAATATAATAATGATATAATAAACAGTTAAAAATTAATAAAATAAGTTTCAGTAGATTCTGATTTATCTACTTCTCTTTACACATTTGAGATTACGTCATTCTCTATTGAATAATTTGTCTATGAGGTACCTCTGTATCTCTATATTCACCTCTATAATGTCAACAGTATTTCATTAAGTCTTTCATGTTTTTAATTATTATATCATTTACCATTATTTCATATAGAATTATAATACAATGTTCTTTTAGTATTCTTACTGATTCTTTGTTGACTAATCAATTTATTGATATTACTGCTGGAATTGTTTTTATTTTAGTTTATTGATTTGTATTATTTTGAAATGGAGAAGTCTATACATTTCAAATTTGTTAGTAAATACTAGAATTATCTTCTTATCACATACTGTTGTCATATCATTTATTACTCACATTTATTTTATTTGATCTTCTATATAAATGTATTGTATTTTATGAAATGTTCGTTCACTTTTATTAATTATTTCTTGATCCATACAATGAACACTTCAATAGGTTAAATAGAATAATAAGATAAAATAAAACTAAACAAAAGATAAAAAAGAAATTAAATATGAACTACTTATGATTATGTTTTCATCATGTTTTATTTCTATTCATTTATTGTTTTTTTCAATCATTCTCAAATTAAATAATTCATCATTTAAGTTGTATCTGATTTTTATTTTGAATTAAATGAGTATCGAAACTCTTCATTATTTATGTTGTCATTTTATGTTGAGTATATCAATAACACTATGACTATGCCTCATCTCCTTTATCATCAACACCACTTAAAAAATTTATTTTTCTTATAACACACCATGTATTCAACTCAAATATAATAAACAACAACCAATTAGTATTGGGTGGTGCATTACTTCACTAAAGGCATGTCAGGACCTTACAACAACTGATGATTCGAAACATCGACATATTAGGTTTTTGTGTGGTGTATCTGACATGCTATCTTCTAAAAGATAAAAAAAAAGAATAACAAAAAGAAGAAATAAATGTTATTTTATAATAACATTTTAATTTAAATGTTATTAAAAACATAAAATGAACTTAATAATAAATATGAGATTAAATAAAATAACAAAACTAATGAAATGTGATATAT